CTTTGATTGCATCAGACAGTTCCGCGACAGACGATAGCTTAAAGGCCAAACCCTTTCACTCCTCTAATGAGACTTCTGATTTCTGCATGTGTTGTATTTTGTCTGTCTTTTCCCAAGCACATGCTCACATCACCAGTGCAGCCAGTCACGTCTCAGAGTTTCTAAATCTTTATAACAGTTTCTTAGGAACGCATTGCCTCAAAATTACGCTCCTTTTTCAACACCACAGCACAGTGACTCTGCAGCTAAGCATTCAGATAGTTCATACAATTTAGCAAACATGTTACTGACCATACATCAAACAAGATCTTATCTTCCAAAGACAGTTATAATTCTTAACTGCTGTCTGGCTGATCCGTACTGTCACAAAACCCAGAAACCTCAAGATATATTGGGGTGGGGTGGGGGAACAATTGTTTCATCATGTTACTGTAAAATTATTTATAAAACTGTTCAGAAGTGGACAAGTGGTCTTTCAAAGTGAGCTGCTAGTCATGTCCCACTTAAATGATAACAGCCATCATTATGTGTCTAAACACTGGTTACACTGTAATTGGTGAAGTATCCTTGTTCAAACGAGGCGCCTTTTGTATCTTCAATCCACCAAGAGCTCCAGAGAAAGGATGTACACCACCAAAATTCCATACATGTTTTGGTCTTGACCAAACGGTATCTTGGCTACAAGTCCCATTATAGTCATCACCTGCTGCTACAATGTCAACATCGAGCTCACTTTCACTGCCAGACAAACTGCTTCATCATTATTAACTCCTCTTCAGTTTCTATTCGTAGAGAGAATGTAACTTGACTATGGGTGCCAAATCCTGGGTTTATCACCCTATGAACACCCACCGCCAGCAAACTTCAACACCAGATGTGGCAGATTAGAAACGTGTGATGTAGGTCAGTTCCTGTATTCAGAATTTCTTCCACTGCTCTGGCTCTCCCTCACCACAGACTCAGCCATTTCTCAAGCCCTTAGTGCCAGCAAAGTAGAACACAAACGAGTGAAATATTACATCTTTTTGGCTTTCATCCAGACGCTGCTCTGATGACCTTGAATATGTGACAATGTCACGACCATATATCCATTAACTTCACAATTTCTTGGCTAAAATAATCTTCATAATGTCAACAATGATAAACCACAGCCGGAATGCATAATGGATTACTGTACAAAGCACTAAACAAATTATGATCTCGTAACTGCTATAAGATGCTCTGAACAAAGTTACTTTAGGAGTCTGCTAGGGCAATGCAAGTTCAGTTGGAAAGCGTAACAGTGAGAGGCAGAGACGATAAAGGTTAACCATTTCATTACCCACAGAATGTTAACACAGAACCTGAGAGGTGCTCATTCACTACATGGTCATTTCAAACGGACAGAGAGAATGATTAATAATGAGTTCTCCAAGCTAACCAACACCCCTCTTAAATGAATGGCATCAGATCTGTGATACCTTCCATACAACAAGGATACTCATGTAAATGAAAGTCAGAAGTTACTGCTCACTGCAGGATAATGTCATACAAACTTGTGCAACATCTACACAAAAAATAGTTCACTTACATAGATGCATAAATACTGTGATAATACACGGGGTATTTAATGTGCCATGGTTAATCAATTGAAAACCATATACAGCAAAATATGAATAAGGCAAGATTTGAAGCTTTAATTACAACTGCAATGAAGTCTTCAATGGCAATCGGCTATGTCAATATGGACTCAATTTCCAACATTTTAGAATTTGTCTCCAAAACTGAGAGTTACTGCATACTGACGTGGCCGATACAGATAACTACTTCAGTACGTATTACGTCCCGTAAGGCAACAATCAGTGCACGTATTACTATGGCGGCCGATACCCGTAAGTCATGAAAGTGTTAGTTCAGCCAGGTGAATCTGCACGAGGGAAGGGAAAGTTAATGGGTGCGTGACACAATCCAAAAACAGCAAAGGAGTTTGAGGAACCAGGCGAAAGTAAATCGTAATGACGGAAAGCTCGCATTGCTCATATGTGA